AACAATAGTAGCAACTTTGGGCGCCTACAAAGAGCGCTAATAGCTCAATGCGCTAGTAATTCTGAATGAACTCGCCGCAATGAACATAAACGGCGCTTATATCTCTCCATCATGGCGAAAATAGCGCAAACTTCAAACAGGTGGAACAAGGTCATCGCATTCATATCTTGACTATCTTGTGTTATTGCTCCTATGCTTGTCAAATTGTTTGCAGCTGAAAAAGGTTTGCTACACTGATTGCAACCTTTGCCCTGTATTGAATATTTGGGCCGCATATAATTTGAATAAAGTCATCCTACTGATCAATCAACAAACAGTGTTAAGTGTCTAAATGCATGTTGCTATTCACCTTTCCTATATACTCGATAACTCATCTTCCTTTTCTTCTACCATGTCAACTTCTCATTTCGGATAGCAGAGGCAGACGCGTAAAATAGTGCTTTCAACGTTCCCGACCCTCTGCCAGAGTCTGAGCATTAGCAAATGACAAATGAAGTGTGGAACAGACTCCTTTCATATATTTGCACCAGGTTAATCTTAGCTGACCCCTGGGCCTTCTGTCGGTCGGATTTGCAAGAAAGAGTTGCTTAACCTTCCTTTCTGGGGGCATTCGCAACACATACCCAAACCATCCCAGATGTGACTTCTCAATCTGGAGAAGCAAAGGCTGTATTTCAAGGCTCTTCCGCATGTCAGTATTCCGGATCATGTCGAGACGCGTTAAGCCAGCGAGTCCTGTAAGAAAGCCCATTTTAGAAGCTTGTTCCCGAATTCCAAGCTTTTCACTCATGATCCACTTCTTATGGCCGAAGGTTAGAATGATGATAAAAATCGACTTGAACACCGAGAGCCTAGTTTTCAGACTGAGCTCTCCTTTAGTCACAATGGATTGGGCTTATTCATGCAGAACACCACTGGTTACTCCAATTCGCAGGTCGATTTGTTCTTCATATTTTCCATCACTAGTAAATACTATTCTGAAGTACTTGAATTTCTCCACCTGCTCCACTGGCTCTCCGTGGTAATATCTATTTGGATCTTCATCACTGCGATAGTAACTGTTTTCATCATAATCTAATGCTTTGACCTTTTCAGGGCGGATTTCATCAATTCCAGCAGCCTTTCGACTTTCTAAGCTTTAAACAATATTAGTAACTGTTTCCTGCTACTCAACAGGTGAATCTTACTGCAGCCGCTCAGGGATAAGGAGTACCTCAAAGTACCTTCGGAGCCGAAGAATGTCATCGTCCTTGGTAAGAAAATTTCTAGACCTGTCCTTCAAGACTGTTAGACTGTCCATCTTTTCACCTATGAGCCGTCGGATGGTCGCCAGAATGCATTCTTTGCCATATGGCAATTCAATTCCAATACCTCACCGAATTTTTCCAAGGAATCAGCTTTGGCTTTCGCCAATGCCTTCGCTGTTCGCTTGCGTCCTTCGACATATCGTAGGCGAGTAAAAGGTTTTTTGTTTCCAAGCCTTTTATTGAACGCTGCTTTCTTCTCTTTAACTGCCAGCTGCACATCTCTGATCCATCAGGAAGTTCTTTTTTGACCTCCAGGCCAGCCCGTTTAAATCCGCAATATTCGGCAGCAGCCTCGATGTTGCCGCTCTTAGATAGCTGTCACTCGTTTTCCACATCAGTTGTCCTCACCGGGGTCTGTTCAAACCATCGTGCAATGTTGCCGGCAAATTTCGCTCTCTTGTCCATAGAAGATAATATTTCCCATTTGATTCTCCGGTTGCTTCTGCCACCAGATCTTCCTGTGGCATTCCATTTCTTACAGCGCAGGGTGCCAGCAACACGGTGATGATCGGTTGATAGCTCTGCGCCTTTTTAACATGAACATCGATTACTGAGCGTCTTAAGTCAGACGATACGATTATCAAATCGATCATCGACTTCTGTGCACAAGCTGCCCGGTACCAGGTGTACTGATGCACTTTTCGATGCTCGAAGGAGACGTTCATAATGGACAGTCGGTTGTTTGAACACAGCCGCAAAAACTTCATGCCGTTATTGTTTGGATCGCTAGAGCCGTTTTTCCAGTAATGCTGTTCCACTTTTCAGCGTCTACTCCGATATGCGCATTAAAATCGCGCATCAGTATGAGGGACTCTGTATTCGGCACTTCGTACAGAGCACACTGCGCTTCCTCAAGGAAGGTATCATGCTGTCCTTCCAAGTTAGGCGTATAGACTTGTACTAAAGTCATCGCTTTGGCCTGTTGTAGCGTCAATCGGAGGATTACCACCCTTCCACTGACAGGCTTCCAATCAATAATTTTGTCGGCAATGTTGGGTTCCATCAGAACACCAACATCGGCCTGAGCACAAGTCGTGATATGTCGTTTTAACTTGATGCAAAAGCTGGTCTACAATTTGCTTGTCTCATCATACGACATGCTGAATGACAGTTTGTGGTTATTCTTTCACAACTTGAATCCATCTTTCTTTATGGACCGCATAATAACTGGTTTCTGTTAAGAATTTCTGCCGGTGATATTTGCAGCTGCTCTGCTCTGAAGTTAGTGCTTACTTCACAAGCAAGGCAACCTGCGCCATATCTGTCATGAACTCTTCCAATAGAGCATAATCTGTCGCAGCCATGTGGCCGCAATGATCTGTTACAGCTGACCGTTCATGCATGGACATGATCCATCTGGTAAATGACTTGAAGTGAGCTCGTTAACTCCTGTTCAACAGTATCATAGCGATGTCCGAATTCTCATGGCCACAACGCTGCGCAGGTGTTTCGAAATACATTGGCCACCTGTTGCATATTAATCAGCCATCACATGTGTCAAACTGAATTTCATAAGTTCTGACGAGCCACTTCATGGCTCAATACCAGATGCCATGAATTCTAATTAACTATCTCATATCCTGCAACAATTTTGTCGTTGCTAAGTTGACGATTCTAGCACACTAATTGTCCTCTTCCCACTGTTCTGTCGTAACAGCTGTAGTGCTGGTTGTAAATGTGGTGCGACGAAACGTTTTTTTATCGTGCTGTTTGGTTCAATTGCGAAGTTTCAGTGGAAACAAATTTTCTTAATTTGCTTCAAAGGAAATAAATAAATGTTTGAAGTCAATTTCAATTATTTCATGAATAAATATGTCTTGCATTTGCATCATTTGTTTAATTTGGAATGATCGAATAAAACATTGACAACAACGTAAAAACAAAAATTTATTTGAGATATATGTAAAACCCAGAAGAAAAGAAACTATAAACGAATAAGTACTTAATTACACACCACCTCCATTCTAAAAGCAAATCAATTAGAAGCAGAGAAAATAATCACATAAACGTTGAAAATGCTATTGTATATATTTATAAGCATAA